TACAGTGCCTTGCTAAAGTATTCGGCCCCCTTGAACTTTGCGACCTTTTGCCACATTTCAGGCTTCAAACATAAAGATATAAAACTGTAATTTTTTTGTGAAGAATCAACAACAAGTGGGACACAATCATGAAGTGGAACGAAATTTATTGGATATTTCAAACTTTTTTAACAAATAAAAAACTGAAAAATTGGGCGTGCAAAATTATTCAGCCCCCTTAAGTTAATACTTTGTAGCGCCACCTTTTGCTGCGATTACAGCTGTAAGTCGCTTGGGGTATGTCTCTATCAGTTTTGCACATCGAGAGACTGAAATTTTTGCCCATTCCTCCTTGCAAAACAGCTCGAGCTCAGTGAGGTTGGATGGAGAGCGTTTGTGAACAGCAGTTTTCAGTTCTTTCCACAGATTCTCGATTGGATTCAGGTCTGGACTTTGACTTGGCCATTCTAACACCTGGATATGTTTATTTGTGAACCATTCCATTGTAGATTTTGCTTTATGTTTTGGATCATTGTCTTGTTGGAAGACAAATCTCCGTCCCAGTCTCAGGTCTTTTGCAGACTCCATCAGGTTTCCTTCCAGAATGGTCCTGTATTTGGCTCCATCCATCTTCCCATCAATTTTAACCATCTTCCCTGTCCCTGCTGAAGAAAAGCAGGCCCAAACCATGATGCTGCCACCACCATGTTTGACAGTGGGGATGGTGTGTTCAGGGTGATGAGCTGTGTTGCTTTTACGCCAAACATAACGTTTTGCATTGTTGCCAAAAAGTTCGATTTTGGTTTCATCTGACCAGAGCACCTTCTTCCACATGTTTGGTGTGTCTCCCAGGTGGCTTGTGGCAAACTTTAAACGACACTTTTTATGGGTATCTTTAAGAAATGGCTTTCTTCTTGCCACTCTTCCATAAGGGCCAGATTTGTGCAGTATACGACTGATTGTTGTCCTATGGCCAGAGTCTCCCACCTCAGCTGTAGATCTCTGCAGTTCATTCAGAGTGATCATGGGCCTCTTGGCTGCATCTCTGATCCGTCTTCTCCTTGTATGAGCTGAAAGTTTAGAGGGACGGTCAGGTCTTGGTAGATTTGCAGTGGTCTGATACTCCTTCCATTTCAATATTATCGCTTGCACAGTGCTCCTTGGGATGTTTAGCTTGGGAAATCTTTTTGTATCCAAATCCGGCGTTAAACTTCTCCACAACAGTATCTCGGAGCTGCCTGGTGTGTTCCTTGTTCTTCATGATGCTCTCTGCGCTTTAAACGGACCTCTGAGACTCTCACAGTGCAGGTGCATTTATACGGAGACTTGATTCCACACAGGTGGATTCTATTTATCATCATTAGTCATTTAGGTCAACATTGGATCATTCAGAGATCCTCACTGAACTTCTGGAGAGAGTTTGCTGCACTAAAAGTAAAGGGGCTGAATAATTTTGCACGCCCAATTTTTCAGTTTTTTATTTGTTAAAAAAGTTTGAAATATCCAATAAATTTCGTTCCACTTCATGATTGTGTCCCACTTGTTGTTGATTCTTCAGTTTTATATCTTTATGTTTGAAGCCTGAAATGTGGCAAAAGGTCGCAAAGTTCAAGGGGGCCGAATACTTTCGCAAGGCACTGTATACGCTCCTAATATGTGGTGGAGATTTGCTAACAACATCGTTGCAGCTATGATTATAGCTATGAAATTGAGTAATTGCTCTGTGTGCACGCACATGCCTGTGTCCGGCCATTCACCTCTGCTCTCACCGGCTCCACTTGATTACAGATTCCCTATGTTTGTGAATGCCACAACAGATGGTTTTATAGCTGTAAGGAAGGAACTAATAGGCCTCAGGCTCACAGCCATGCAGGTCCAAATGGTCTTAGATCAGTTAACAGCTTCACATGGAGGTGTCTGTGTAATCATGGGCACATCCTGCTGTACTTGCATCCCAAGCTTTGTCTACAGGTTTGTTTCTCAAACTGTTGAAATAATGTTGTTGACATACCACCCAACACACCACCTCTCTCTCTCATCAACTGCTTATAGCTCAGACAACTCTGATTCTGGGGATGAAATGCTAGTATAGGCCTATTATTGTCGTCCTTCTCTTTGTTTGTGCTTCATGATTGTTTGTATCACGAAAACAGTATATTTGGGTTTTTCTTCTAGGTTATAATGATTTATCTTAAACCTTTTTGGTGTTAGGTTTGATATGTTCCTAAGAAGGCTTTTGTATGAATTGTTGTGATTAATGTTTAATCAAGAGGAGGGAGTGTGGTGGCAATGTTCTTTAGCCGATGCTTTCATGTCATTGTATGCAGTCATTTGTGTGGTTATGACCCCAGACCGTTTATTGCATGGTCGTAAACCTTTGTATGCCTTTTGGTTGCCAAACCAGATGTGACCTGGGACCAAAGGGCTGGTATCTGTTTGAGCATCTGTCTTCTTTGTTGTAGGCTGAGTATAAGAAGGACTCACACACTCTGTCCATTGAGCGTCCATTGAGCCTCCCTGTAACAGACTGTATTAGACACTCTGTTCAGAGAAACCGCCTTCCTGCAGGAATAAATATGTAATAACTTTCAGAACTAATGTTAAGTATTTATTTTACACTCACTGAGCTTTAAAAGATCATTTTTCCAAACCTTGCTTACAGAGGCGGTGGGACCATCAGAACCACGCCTTACAGAGGCGGCGGTACCATCAGTACCATTCCATACAGAGGTGGCAGTACCATAAGAACCATTCCATACAGAAGCGGTGGTACCATCGGAACTATTCCATACAGAGGCGGCGGTACCATCAGTACCTTTCCTTACAGAGGCGGCGGTACCATCAGAACTATTCCATACAGAAGCGGCGGAACCATGCCTTACAGTACAAATCTGTGTAAATTTTTAGATTAACCAAACTGGCAGTGGAGGCACAGCACATGAAAACAAAGTCATATTTTAGGTTCTGTCTGGGTGGGTTTGTGTTGAGTTAACAAGAAGGACTGAGTGAGGATCCAGAGCTTTACTGTCCCAACTCTAAGCGGCTTGTGCCATGTTGCTTCTCATTTTAAGTCCATATTTTAGGGAGCGAACACTGCATGCTGGTCCAAGTTCACAAGCCTCCAGCCCTGTAGTAGGAACCTCACTTTCATCTTCAGGGCTGAAATGTAGCTAACAATGTGTCACCTCCTCAACTCAACTTTATTTATATAGCACTTTACCACAGCTGAAATGTAGCTAACAATGTGTCACCTATTTACAGAGTGTAGGCTGTAGAAGTGAAAATGACTAACATAGTGGTGACCACATGTACTGTATGCCAGTTCACTGAGCCCTAGATTGGTTTTAATGCGTTCTCTTCTAAAACTGCACTTTTCAAGGAACGACCAGAAACATGTAGTTACAACTGGTGGGACAACATGAACAGAGTGACCCAAACTTCATCCACAATTTGATGTTTTTACCTTTATCCCGGTCGTACAGTAGCTCCTCTGTGGAGTAGGGGCTGCCATCATGTGATCCTGGTGGGCAGGCTGGCGATGGGCAGGGCGACAGGCTCGAGCAGCTGCTGGACCGCCCGGGGGCTGAGGGAGTCTGGGTGTCAACGCTGCGGGTGCTGCTGCTGCGCTGTTGTGGAGGAAAGGGTGCCCGCCGCCCGTCAGGAACCTCCAGAGACTGCCGAGTCCGAGAGGAGACACACAGCAAGGAGAAAGAACAGCATATTGATCGGAACTGACACAAAACAAGTCAGTACAACAGTTAGAAGATACACCAAGATGAAACAGAACCCCACCTTAAGCTCCTCCTTCTCTCCGTTGTCTTTGATGAAGACCTTCTCCAGCTCATGGTTGATGCCCTCCATGCTGCTGGGCACCCTGGAGATAGAGGGTTTTGGCACCGTGATGTTGGACAGCGGCATCTGGGCCGACTTCGACATGGAAAATTTCTGCAGTACATACACACATATGAACACACAGCCTTCGGGTAGTGTAGGAACATTTTTCTTTTCTCTTCCAGCAGGTATCGAGTTTCCAGAATCTGGCATTGTACATGTACAGTACATCACCTTCTGAATTTGAATTCATTCTGTTCCACTTACATTCATTTTGTATTTCGTTCTGTACTACAGAACTTTTTCTGGCCTCACTTCTAAGTGAAGCATTTCCAATTCGTTTATTTGAATTCATAGTGAACTGTCAAGACACTCTTCCATCTTCGTTTGGAGGAGGTGGGGACATGTACACGACAGCATTGCATCACTCCAAAGGTAAAGTAACAACACAACATCACTAGCAGCTTACTGTTCATTTCTCTCTCTGGTTTTTTATCATCTGACTTCTCTCACACTGCACAGCACAAAGCTATTGTCAGTACAAACACTGAACTCCGTTTATATTAGATCATAGAACAAGTACATCCTGTGTAGGGCTGGGCGGTATATCGATATATTAACATATCGATATAATTTTAAACGCGGTGTAGAATTACGCAATACCGTTTATACCGCAGTATAAAGTTAAAGGACGAGAAGAGAGTCTATCCTCATCAGGCTCTCTCTCTCTCTCTCTTTCACACACCTGCACCCCGCCCACACTCTTCCATTGCGCATGCGGCCAGTGGAAGTCAGCGGCTATTTTCAACTCAGCAGCATGGAAGCAGCTCAAGCTCCGCTCGACACGAGTGACGAAGTTCTGTTATGTAAAAAGAAAAGTTTGGAAGTGGTTTGGTTTCAGAAGAGATGATGTCGAGCAAAAAAACATAATTTGTAGACTGTGTCACAAAGAAGTTACGTCCAAATGTGGAAGCACAATAAATCTGTTCCACCATTTACAGCAATGCCACAAACTCCAGTACGAGGAGTACATGAAACTTCGGCATGCTGCAGCCACTGCTCCCACAAGCTGCCAGAATTAAAGTCCTCCTGCCTGCTGTCCACCTCGACACAAAGCCAGCTGCAAACTGCATTTAACCATGGTGTGGCAGTACGAAAAAAAAAGTGCAAAGTGGCGTGAAATTACAAATGCAGTAGCATACCATATTGCAAAGGACATGGCCCCTATTGCCACAGTGGAGCAAGATGGATTCAAAAAACTACTGAAAGCACTTGACCCTAGGTACCAGTTGCCCTCACACAAGTATTTTGCACGAGAGGTGCTGCCAGAAATGTATACGGATGTCCGGAAGACACTTAACCAGGCTGGCTAACGTGACGAATTTAGGACTACTGTAGCTACAGATCTGTGGTCAAGTCGGACATGCGAGCCTTACATGAGCAGGACGGCACATTTTATTGAAGACTGGGAAATTAAATCAGCGTGTCTCCAAACAAGCTATTTTCCTCAGGATCATACTGGAGAACACATTGCAGAAGCCCTGAAGGCCGCTCTCTTGTGCTGGAAGCTGGAAGAAAAGCGACTAGATTTCCATTTTAGAACATTATTTTAGATGTTAATCATTTTTTTCATACACAAAGAGTTACATACAAAATATGAATTAAGGCTGTCAAACAGATTAAACTATAAATATATGGCTGTAAATTCAGTCATTTATTAATGATAAGAATCTTTTTGTTTACTTCCTGTGTGTTATTTGGCCTAGAGGCAAAATTCATCCTAGCCAAATAGTCATAAAAGAGATTTTAAAAATTAAAGGGAAATTTCTTTTTTTTGTTGTTTTTCAGGACATGGTATGGATAATAGCCACATCACCCAGGCCATTTCTCTGTGTAAAAAAATTGTCAGCAGCTTCTCCTACAGCTGGAAAAAATGGAGAGAGTTGGCTGAAGTCCAAATTCAGCTGGGTCTGCCAGCTCACCAGCTCATCACAGAGTCAGCCACACGCTGGGGATCAAGGCAGCAGATGATTGAGAGGGTCCTAGAGCAAGAAGCAGCACTCTCCAAAGTCCTGTCTGCTGACAAAAAGTGTAGGTATCTTGTCCCGACATGGCAAGACATTGAGGTTCTAGAGGCAGTCCAAAAGGCCCTGAAACCTCTTCAGGACTTTACCGATGCTCTTTCAGGTGAGAAGTATGTCACCCTTTCATATGTCAAACCTGTGCTGAACCTCTTCAAAACAAATCTTCTGGCAGATGAAGATGGTGATAGTGAGCTCTGCAAATCCATCAAGAGCCGCATTGTGAGTTACCTCAATGCAAAGTATGCTGACCCAGCCATTTGTGACCTGTTGGATACGGCCTCTCTTTTGGATCCACGGTTCAGGATGAAATATGTGTCGGAAGAAAACACTGAAGTCCTGAAACAGTGGCAGTGCCACTGCCACCACCAGCACCTAAGAAGAAGAGGTCACTGGCAAGCTTCTTCTCTGAGAGTACACTCACCAGCAGCAGCACCACACTTAAACCATGTCAGGCAGTTGAACTTGAACTCCAAAGTTACCTGCAGTCTGCCAGTGTGGAGAGTGACACAGATCCCCTCAAATGGTGGAAAGAACATGAAGTGGTCTTTCCATCCCTGAGTCACGTGGCAAAGAAATATACACATGGCAAAGAAATATCTTCCCCTTCGGAAAGAGTCTTTAGTTGCAGTGGAAATATTGTAACTTGTCACAGGGCATCCCTGAAGCCTGATGCTATTGACAGGCTTGTTTTTCTTGCAAAAAACCTGTAAGAGAGTTTACAAGCAATCTACCTGTGTCTACAGGAAATATAACTTTTCATGTTCAGTTAACAAAGTTTTGTTAAGAATAGCTGAATATTTATTTTCCTAATTATTCAAAATTGTTTATTTGCACAGCTGTGGACTTTATTTTGTCTTTTATTTATTTAACAGTGACATTTACACCAGTGAGTGTTTAAAAACAAGAAAAACTTAGCGTCTTAGCTCTAAAATGTTCAGTTCTAAAACTGTTAATAAACATTCTTATAATATCACATATGCCTTTTGACTTTGAATTTAACTGAACCTTGTGTACAAGGAAATACCGGGATATAAGAGGTATATCGTGACACGTAAAAATTATACCGGGATATGAATTTTGGGCCATATCGCCCAGCCCTAATCCTGTGATTCATTAAATAAAATTTTTATTTTGTATTTTATTTGTATTCATTTATTAAAAACCAATTTGTAATCCTACTGTTGATGTGCAAAGCTGCTATCTGATGCCAAGTCACAGGTCATTTTGTTCTTTGTGTACCTGTTGGTAAACAGCTGAACAATAACTGTGACAATAAAATGAATCCTGTATCTTGTATCATTTTTAGGTACATGTGCAAAACAGTTGAGCAGGGCCGATTTTAAAGACCCTGCACCTCTAACCTTACATCTCATAACCAGAGATAATCTCCAACAAAGCAAACCGAGAGCTCAGATCAGTATGGAGAGTGTTTTTTCAAACCAAATTGTTCAAACTAAATTGACAAATCAATTTGTTTATCCAGCCCTGATGTAGTCGCTATGGCACTCGTGGGCAGGCTGGACCCCATCTGATCCAGACTCATCTGATGTGCTGCCAGCATTCATCCATGTTCTTTGACAAAGTTTAATCTTGTAGTTTTGCATAGTTTTGTAATTAGTGGCTTTATTCTTGGACAGTGTCCACTGAGGCTGGCTTCTTACACTGCCTGATCAGTCACCGACGGCACCCATTTTCACACGTACTGTGATCCCTCTGCTGAGTCAAAAGCATCACGTTTGTGGCAATGGTCACAGGTAAACTGGCCTTTGTCAATGTAGCCACAGGAAATAAGATGTTTGGTTTTGATTGTACATATGAATAAATCCTGCCACTCACGCTGGTGTACAAAGCAATGTTTTCAACTGAGTAGACCTGAATAACACTGATATCATTTTCAGCCCAGCAATGCACGCTACCTGAACGTGGCTGGTAGGGCTGGTGAGGGTGCTGTAGGTGACAGTGCTGTAGGGGAGGGGGAGCAGTCGGTCCTTGTCTTTACTGTGGCGTCCTCGTTTACTGTGCTGGAGGCGCTGCTGAGGCTTCGCAATCTGCTGGAATCAAACAGGAGAGGACAAACAGAGGGCGGACAAAGGAGGGCAAGATCGATTATATACGCTGGTTAGAATCAGATACTATATAAGTCAATACAAACTGTAATTGTATTCTATTAATTACAGTGCTTTGTCAGACCTTATTGTTGTAGTGTTCCCAGATCTCTGCAATGCCTCTGATGTTAGGTTACAATTGTTACTGATAGAAATGAACAAAACTACAAAAACTACACGAGTAGTAAATCAGAATTACACTGACAGCAGATTCATTTATCATTTGACCTGATACAACTGGAAACAGATGGGTCTGAACCCTTCGAGTGTCCTAGTTCACCATACCTGTGAGCTAACTTGCACAACACCAGGGTCCCAGAACTGGAATGGAATGGAATGCTGCACGAGTCACGTCATTAGTTGCACCTGTGCATACCTGCTATATCATGTCAAAATGTCTTCTGTGAAAAATGTCCATAGCTGTCATTCACTGGCTCCTCTATGATCAATAGTGTGGCGACCGCTGGCTGGGGCCGCCACAATAGTTTACCTTAGAGTACACAGTAAATACTGTACACTTTGGACATTTATTATTCATTATTTTTGTTCTATTGCAGGAATGTTTAAGGGCGAGTATAGTAGATTTCACAGAAATCCTTTAGAGGAGAAACAAAGGAGAGAGGTAAATCGAAGTGTCAAATGTGAAGATAATATGTAGACACCAACCTCTGCTACAACTGCAATTACATCATTTATTTGTGTGTTGATCCACATGTGGAGTTCCCAGCTGTCACTGTACACCAGGGGCCATAGTACAGAAAACCCCTCTCTCAAGTCCCAAATCTCACTGGGAAAAGTATAAAATAGAGGTGTTCCCAATTTGGTCTTACAGAAATAAATCCTATCTTATCTCAGGTTAAGAAATCTTCAATCAACTTTTATGTCACCAAGTAACTGATGCTACTTTTCTCATCTCGCCAAGCTATTCTGTAATTAAATACTCTTCGTCAGGAGAGCCCAGAGATGCAGGATCAGCCTCTCCACACTGGCTGTTCAGCTAACTGCAGGATCACGGTCCGGTGAAGCACATACCTACTAATGAGCACTTTGTCATCGGACTAAAACCTCACTAGGGTCTTGTAAGATCTGATTTTTATAGGCTCTAGTTATTTTATAATCTTTAGTTACTTTTCAGTTCTTCACTGTCTTTTAGTTACTTTTCATACCTTTACCTTCCTTGCTTATACATGTTAAAACTGTATTGATGATTGACCAGAACTACTGAGCTTTGGTTACTTTAATACATTTACTTTCCTTGCATATATATTTTCTAATTGAGAGTCAGAGTCAAGTGATACTGAAGTAGAAATTGACTACTTTAACTTGTGTGTACACATAGTGTTTGTATTCATGAGGTCTTGCTTTGTCCCGTAATAGGATTATACAGATAGGAGGTCTGCAGCGCAGATGACCCATTGTTCAGTTGCCGCCTGGAAAATCACATCAGAACACACACACACACCTGGTTTTGATCACATTTCAGCATGAATTGTTGGACCTTTGTTTGAGGCGGACCTAGCCCAAGAGTACAAATGTAATGTAAAAACATAACTCGGGATTCAGAAGCCGGTTTTCCTGCGGGAGCTCTGTCTCTCTGAATTCAGCGCTGTAAAGACTTTCCTGTGATCAGACTTTCAGTAAACTTTCTGTTGGTTTTAAACAGTCCTCTCCTGTCCGAAGTGAGATCGGTGGAACCCTCTTCAGACAATCTGCCGGCATTCATAAAAACAGGTAAGCAGAAAACCTTTTCTATAATACAGAGAAATTCTGCACATGGGGCACACTAAAACGCTGAATTGTCTGATTGAGGATCTTCCCCGATCGGTAAATTGTTTTAAAAGAGAAGCAAAAGCATGTGTAAGATTTGAGTCTTATAGACTCTAGTTACTTTATCAGCTTTAGTTACTTCTCATACCTGTAGTTCCTTTTAGTTACCTTTCATAACTTTATCTTACTTCTTTATGCATATTACAGCTGTATTGATGATTGTCCAGAACTACTGAGCTTTGGTTATTTTAATGCATTTGTTTCCCTTGCTTATATATCCTACAGCTGTAATGAAGCAGAATCTGCTTACTTTGAATGCTGTAAGTTCTGTGTAGAGACAGGATGTCTGCATCTCTTTGTGACCAGACAGCCAATTCACATTTTAATTAACAAAGACAAGTTGGCTTGTTTTGCACCCACACCTAGACTCACTTAGCATATTCCAAGTTCTGCTTTATCTTGGGATGTCCTGCAGAGACCGGGGGCCCACAACCTGAGATGACCACCTGGCCAGTTTAACATACAACTTAGCAACACACACACACACACACACACACACACGGTGTAGATTACATTCCAGCAAGGAGGTGTGAGCTCCGGCTCACCAAATGACTAATAGGAGTACAATGCATGAATTGTTGTACCTTTGTTTAGTGCAGAGCAGCCCAAGAAGATAAAATGTATTGTAAGACCTTAATTCGAGGTCAGTGGATGGAACTCCTGCGGGAGCTCTGTCTCTCTGATCCCAGCACTGTAAGGCCTACCTGTGATCAGACATTCAGTAAACTTTCTGCCGATTTTAAACAGTCCTCTCCTGTCGTCACTTCTCGTGCTTCCAACAAAAGAACGGGTTAAATTCTAACACGTTATCTTTGTCTGAAGTCGGATTACATGTGAAGTCTCAACCACATAGCCTCACGTGAGGGAAAGTGCATGAGTGTCCTAGTCTTAGATCGTTTGGCTTCATAAAAAACGTAAAATCGATCTCATAAATGGATAACCACTGAAGGGTTGTCTTCTAAATTACATAGGACATTTAATACCACTTGATCCAGGTTTTATAAAATAAATCTATTGCCGCTAACTGAGCATAGAATCCAGGTTTTACAAAATAAAACTTGATGCCGGGGATTAGCCTCGTTGCCGCTAAATGAGTGTAGTCACTGTAAAAGTGAGGTTTGGCCCCTGTTAAATTATCAATGAGGACACAGGGACAAGTTTGTTGTGTTCCATAATTATTGTGGGGTGGTTTCCTACTTGAAAGAGATTTTCTACTGTCTTGAGAAACCGCGTATCAAGCAGCTTCCTGTTTGAGAATTCCTGTACTCATACAGCTCTCAAGTAGTTCTGTGTGGGGGGCACTGGAATAGCAGTTTGGCATTATAGAGTTATGGTATTGCAACTTTTGGTGTCTAAAACAAGTGATTTGACTGGGATACCCTCAACAGCCAAGCGAACAGAATCTTTGTGTAGAAGCTTCTTGGCTGGGTCGGTCACGTGGGCGCTGCGCCATTCACTGAAACTTGTTGATACGTGTTTGTCAAATTTTTTACTATGGCCCTAAATACACGTGAACAGTGGAAGGAATGTAAACCCGGCACCTTGGGGTTGGTATTATATGTAGCTGCCATGAAATGGCGAGGTAAGGTTCTTAAGGAAGACGAAGGGAAAGAATTAGAGAGATTTACTAGCTGTGTGAAAGATATGCAAATTAAGGGGATGTTTGGAGACCGTGAAGGGGCTCCACTGAAAGTGAGTGATTTAACACTGTTCTTGAAGCAAGCTGCAATGAGCGTTGAACAGAGTAAACAAAACACAAGCAAAGCAGGACGGCTTAACAAGGGAAAGGCTGTTAAAACAGCTCTAAAGGCAGAAGCTTTTCTTACAAACTGCCAGTGTTTCCTCCCTGAGGTTAAAATTGCTCTCCAACTCTAGTCATCTGCATCATTGACCCCACAAATGCTTGTAACAATTCCTGAATCTCCAGAGACATGACCACTTGAGAACAAAGAAAATGTGCCCACCCCCACCGCTGCGCCC